ATAGCAGGTTTAGGTAAAACGACATTCATTCAAAATCATGCACAAAAATCTAATCGAAACTTGATTAAATTTCCTATTATGGGTGATTCGAGTTTTGATCAAATTGGTGCACGATTATTATTAATTGGTATGCCAAATGCAATTCATTTTGATGTTGGTTCAATAGAAAATATCAATTTATTGAATTCAATTCTCTTTTGTTTATGTTTATTTCGTAGTTACTGTTTTTCACAAACAGTTATCTATTTACCAATAAATACATTATTTTATTTTGAATTAGAATCATCATCATTTTTCCAATTAAATCAAGATATATATATATTTCGTTATTTAGACTCAACAATAATCAATGAATTTAATTTAAATAATATTTTGTACGAACAAGCACGTTTACATTATGTTACACGTTATTTATATGCTATTGACAAGAAAATAATTAAAGATAAGGAAATAGATGTTGTTCCTGATCAATCAATAAATCAACATATTTGTATTGACTTAATGAATAAATATTTTATTCAAAATAAAGATAAAAAATATTTATCATGGACACAATTGAAAATATTTATTAATGTATTTTATCATTTATTCAATGGATTTTCAAAGTGTGGATATTTTCTTGTTAATACGCTACAAGAACCACAATTACGAATGGATATTATACAAGCATTTCTTGATTCTTCAAATCAATTTACATCAATATCAGTTAAATCTGTACGTGAAAATCAAGTAACATTAAAGAATAGTGAACAAATTAATGATCTTTTAAATAAATCAATTGTAAGATGGGATACGATACAACCATTTACTATTGTTTTTACACATTCAAATGATCCATTATTTGTATATAAAACACCCAGAGATGTTCCAAAGTCATTACAATTATATTTCCAGGCTCTATCAAGAAAAAGCAATCAATGGTTAGCAAAAGGAACAAATGATATATTTACTGATTATAATCGTCTAAATCATTTGGATCTTTTCTTTAAATTAGTTTCACTATCGAACAAATATTGGAATAAAGCAATATGTAAGCAATGCTTTAAACAGTATCCATTTAAAGACAGTACATGTACAGAATGCAAATTGTCATTAAGGAAACCAAAATCAACTAATACTAATGACATAAAACAATTTCAAAAAGAAATGGCAGAAATACTTGAACGGGAATATGTAATAACACCTGATAATTATATCAAAATGCTGTTAGTATGGTTGAGAATTAGTAGCGACGTACCTGTTATTATTATGGGTGAAACAGGTAAATTTGAAATGAATACTATTAACATATCTGTAGATCTATATTTGTAACGATACAACACAGTAGAACGACAAAAAATTTTGTTCAAACTGCGATGTTATCTTTAATATCCTGTACGAGTACAGTTTTTTTTTGCACTCGAACTCGGATCGGTACCCCTTTTTTTTTAACTCCGATTCTGAACCAAGCTAATTGACATTCAGCAGATATATTCACACTTATAGTACAGCTGTTCAACTTTTACTGTGTACGAAAATGTGTACTGTTTTATTTCCTTTATATCTTTCTACTTCTAAAATCAGACTAATTTTGCTAACTATGTTTGTTTGTTATTGATGAAGTTTGAATGAAACATGTACTATTGCTATCAAACGTCACACTTTCATATGCATACATGGATGTTTTTCCCAATAAGAAAATAGATGTTCACCTTCTTGGTCGTTCATTCTTGTCCCTATGCATTCAGTTATTTCGTCATATAGTTTCTTATTATCTATAGATGAATTTTCATTAAAAATGAATTCTCTTAGTAAAATAATATTGCTATCCATTTCTATGCCTGTTCGTAAATTTTAATATAAATAGTAGTTAGAAAAATTAAAAATATTGTGAAATGTCATCCTATCATTCATTGCTGAATCGAATGCCGAGTATGATCTCAAAGTTGGACTCGATCCAATTGCAGGATATTAGTTGTATTTATCAGAAAAACTATATAAAAAAGAGAGGAGTCCGAAATAGCTACGAGGCTTTTTTCGGGAGTTATTACAAAGAGAATAAATAAAATTATGAGTAGTATAATTCATCTACTAACTATCGAATAATGCTTTTTTTTATCATGCTTTCTCGTCATCTATTGATGTATATATTATCAATCATGCCTTTTTAGGTTGTGGTAAAACAGCATTAATTAACTTTTTATGTCATAAAATTTTGGATGATGAATTGTATATTTTTCATATTCATGCTGGAATTACAAATAGAGATATAATTGATACTGTAGAAAATCAGATTGCACGAGCTGATCAACTAGCTAAAATTGAAAAGCGGTTATGGATATTTTTTGATGAATTTAACACAACAAAAAATGTTGGCTTATTTAAAGAAATAATGTGTGAACGAACATTGTTAGGTAAACAATTACCGAGCAATATGGTTTTCTTGGCTGCATGTAATCCTCGTCGACTTAAAGCGGAAAAAAATCATTCTGATGATAATATCGGTATAAAAAGAGAAAATTATGAAATGCAAAAATCTGCTTCGGGAGAACATTTACTGTATACTGTAGTACCTACACCAGAAACAATGATTGAATACATATATGATTATGGTCATCTTGATAATGTTACAGAACGAAAATATATTGAAGCAATTCTTCGAACATGTACAAGTTTAGCAAATGAACAACAATTATTCACTATAATTGTTAATGGTGTTTGTCAATCTCAACTTCATTTAAGAAATATTGAAGATGTTTCTAGTGTCAGTCTACGAGATGTAGCACGTTATCGTTTAATATATAATTGGTATTACGATACATTTGATAAACGTAAAACTAATTTATCCATAAGAGATAAAATATTTAAATCATCTGTTTTATCATTAATGTTATGCTATTATTTTCGCTTAAGTTCATCTGTTGAGAAAACTAAATACATAAATGTGCTTAAAAAAGCAATGTTATTTAATCAAACAAATGAAAAGATTATTGAGAAAATATTACAACAAGAACAAGATGAATTAATAAGTCGAATGAAAGAAAAGCCAACTGGCACAGCAATTAATCGTGCTTTACGTGATAATTTATTTGTTATGTTTGTTTGCATATTAAATCGTATTCCGGTTATTTTATGTGGTAAACCAGGGTGTAGCAAAACATTAGCTATTCAAATAATAATAAGTAATTTAAAAGGAAAAAAATCGAATGATTCATATTTTGAACAATTACCAGAATTAATTGCTGTATCATATCAAGGAACAAAATCATGTAAATCAGAAAGTATTCAAATGATATTTGAACGTGCTAAAAAATATAGTGCTGCTAAAACACAAACAGAATTATTACCAGTTATTGTCTTTGATGAAATTGGTTTAGCTGAATTATCACCATATAATCCACTTAAAGTATTACATAAGGAATTAGAAATTGAAAATTGTAAATATGGTTTTGTTGCTATATCCAATTGGAGATTAGATGCATCAAAAATGAATCGTGCCTTATATTTAGCATGTCCAGATCCAACAATTGAAGATCTTCAATTGACAGCAATAACAATACATAAAAGTATAAATGAAAATCAATATATACAATTAAATGATGATATTATGAATGGTTTAGCACATTCCTATCTTGAATTATGTTACAAATTGAAGGAAAATCCATCTCATGAAAATTATTTTGGTCTTCGTGATTTTTATTCATTAATAAAAGGTATTGTAAAAGAATTCGATCGTATATCAAAAGAACTGAAGCAAATCATTGATAATAAAACGTTGTTTGGTATTATTCGTAAACAACTAACAATTAATTTCGATGGTATTGTTGATGGTTCTGAATATATGTGGAAACGCTTTTGTTATTATACAAAACATGAAGATTTAATTAATCAATATGAGTCACCGAATTTCAAAGAAATATTGGACTATTGTTTAAAAGATCGTAGTGGTCGTTATCTCATGTTGATCTCTGATTCTAATAGTCTTATTGATTATATTGAAAGATATTTGAATAAAATTGCAAATAATATTCGAACATTAATTGGAAGTCAAATAAAAGATGATCTTAATAGTGAAACATATGATTATCGTATATTAATGGATGTTATTTTATACGCTGAAAAACCAATAACATTAATAATGCGAAAAATGGATAAATGCTATTCATCATTATATGATTTATACAATCAAAGTTTTTCAATATCTGGACAAAAAAAATATTGTCGTATTGCCTTAGGATCAACATATCATCCAAAATGTTTAGTTAATGATAAATTTTATTGTATTGTGTTAGTTAATGCTAAAGATGTTGAAAAATCAGATCCACCATTTCTTAATCGTTTCGAAAAACATACAGTTCAATTCAAAGATTTAATTGAACCATTACATTTAACAATAACACAAAATCTATTATTATGGTTGGAACGTTTATTAACTATTAAAATAGGTACAAAACATTTTATACAATTACAACATATATTTGTTAATTTCAATTGTGATTACGTATGTAATCTTGTCATAGATGCATTTGAATTAGATCAAAGAGATCAAGATAATGTTATCAATCATTGTAAAAATGTCTTAATCCATACTACTTCTTCAGATTTACCATTGTTACTATCATTACAAAATCAAAATGACAATAAAGAATACGCACATTTGTGTGAACAATATTATCTGTTAAAAAAGAATTCAACTTTTGTAAATCTATTCAAAAACATATCATCAAATATGAATCGACAAATTATTTATACTTACACACAGATTTATGATAATATTAATTATCCAAAAAATATCAACATATATATTGATGAAGTTAAATTGGCTAATTTCAAAACGGAATTAGAATTAATTAATAAAATGAAAGTACATTTTCAAATGAATACAACAATAGATAAAACAACAGCGAATATACATTTGCTATTAATTCGTGTCGATTATTATAATGATCGTGATCATATCTTATCATTAAAACATAATATTGTTAATCTTTATAACGAATTTAAAAATAATCAGTCTAAATACATATGGGTCATATTTCATTTACAACGAAATGTTCTTAATCGTATGTCAAATGATGTTTTATTCAACGGATGGTCAAATATAATGATTGAAAATCTCAATGATAATGAACAAAAACAAATTCTACGATACGATGTGTTCCAACAATCGTCATATCAGGATATAATCAATAAAAAATTATTTTCTTTACAATTTTATAATCTATTTGACAAATGTTTATCTCTATTTCGTTATATCACAAATACTACTAAAGAAAATGATATCAATAAAAGACGTAATGAATTATTGCAGTATTTTAATTACAATCAACACAAAGATTTAAGTAATATCATGATAAAGAACATAGCTTATCTTATTGAAAATGTTAACGATAAAAATACCTTTGTTGATTGGAGAATTGATTTAATTACAAATAATACAATAGCAGCTAATGCACGTTCATTTTATGATGCATTTCAAATGACTATGACTAACTTTTATGAAATGTATTTTCTATTATTATTTTCAAACTCAGAAAAGCAAGCACTTATCGATAGCTATTTATTTATGACAACAAAAATTACAATTGAAGAAAACAAAACAAAAGAACTATACAAGCAAATATGGTAAGTTTTTTTCAAATTTTCATTTTAGTGTGATAAAAAAAAAAGTGCTGAATGTGGAAAAATCCAATTAGATTCTTGAACATATACTTGATACATTTTTGTGAAACACGATGTTAGAGGAGTGTTGAAGTATACAGGGCAGAAATTTGGAATCGCCCTCTTCCCCGTTCCATCCATAGAGAGTGACAGACACCGTGAAACTCCGCCACGGTCTATTTTAAGCGTTCTTGATACACAATCAAAGACTGTATATCAAGAATATCTTGTCATAATAAATGAACTATGTCCTAATTCTAGTTATTGGGTAATACGTAAAAATATTGTTGATGAATGTGACACACAATAGATAAGTGAAATGGGCGACTATGGATGTGGAGTAAATCAAAACGCGTTCACACCCAAAATATAATGACTAGAACTTGTGTATTTTAGTGATTGATTCATTCACTCAATTTTATCCTTAAAAAGTCACAATAGATAATGAAACATTTTATCAAAATACGTTCCGATAAAAACCATGTCAGAATACATCCTTCAGGAGCTTTAAAAAAACCTAGTATGTTCTGTTTAAGACTAAGTCTGTACATAGTGTGTTGTACAGTTATTCTTTGACTGAGTAAAAAAACTAAGAGAAGTCTTCAAATAAATTTTATTTATGTCGAATAAGACATTTAGAACCATCGAACTTTACTGACGTACGATTCGTTATATATAACTTTTGATGAAATATTGAAAGGACTTTCTCATCTTTTCCAGGCAATACTGTATGGATACCATATTATCGAATATTGCTAAACAAACAACTAGATTAATACTCAATGAATATATCGAAATTCCTTTTATATTTGATCTTCGATTTCCATGTTCAATAAAAGAATTTGAAATTATTTATAATATCCATAATAATTTATCATATGGAGATGTTGAGATGACAATTGAAGATCAAGCATATACAAAATTAAAAGAAAATAGTTTTTATAAAAACTATTTTGAAGATTCGATAATTAATAATGAATATTTATTTGAGCAATATTACCGTGATCAATTAACTATACTTTCAGTCAACTGTAAAATTCAGTTAGATATTGAATTCGTTTTTTCACTTGTCTACCATAAAAATACAATGAAAACATCTACTGATCGAATTAAATATTATTTAGTTTATCATGATGAATTAAAGCAATTATTAAAAACATTTAATTATGGTTTCGAAATGTTAAAAGATGATATTAACCAGATTTTTATCGATATAGAAAATGTTCTTAATCCTGGTTGTTTTCCTTTAAAAACAGCTGATTATTACAAGTTGATTATAGCAGATGACGTAATCTATCAAATTCCACCGAATACCGTTATAAATAATGCTGAAGATTTATCTGAGAAATTCTTATTTGAATGCGATGGTGAATCATTCATTGAGAATTGCGTAATGAATCTTATTGAACTAATAATCACACCAAAATATATTCAGAGTATAAATAATATTCAAAATATATTAATGATCTATGCACAAATAAGTCTTGAAATATCCAGTCTTAGACGATACACTGTTGACAATTTAGAAAAATTAAAAACTATAATAAATTTATTAACTTCTATTTTGGCGCTTTATGATGAACCGTCGAAAGTTTTTCAGATAATTATGACAAATTATATAACAACTAAACGTCTCAATACATGTGCCAATATTGATGCATGTATAGTTCATCTAAAAACATTAAAGAATTTTAAAATTGATCTTGATAAAAATACAATTAATAAAATTTTATCAAAATTAGAAATTGAGTTATTAAAAAATTGGTTGTACGATAATGATGATAATTATGTTGATCTTTTGCAAATATTAAATAACTCTAACAACGACTTATGGAAGTATTCTGCTAAAATTGTAGCATACTTCGAAAGGATGCTAGAATTTGAAATAATTAGAAGAAATCATGGTCAGATTACAATTGATGGTCCATACATACAATTGGAACAATATTTATCACGAGTCAACATGTCACAAAAAACAACTAAAATTGAGCATCTTCTATCTAATCGAATACATTCATATTTGAAACAAACAATAGGAAAAGAAAATATTGAAAGTTCACTAAATAATGATTACACATATTTTGAAGAAAATTTAATACAATTACAATCTCTATTAAATCAACAACAACGATCTCATGTAAAAATCATTTGTTTAATATCATGGCTTAAATTCTATGTCGAAATGTATTCCTATGCACTGATTAAGTCTCAAGAACAACTTGGTGTTATGCAACAGATAGATCGTTTATTATCAAATAATAATTCTAAAGTATGTTCATCAGTTAAAATTTTTATCATTAAACAGATGATATATTTTGCTAATATTTCAATGGAAGAATTGAAACAAACATTATCGAATCGAAATATTGCTTGGATTAAACCAATACTATTAAAACAATCAGATATTCATGAAAAAGAACAAAATAATTTTATATTGCCTACACCATTATTTGAATGTAAAAATGAATATATTCATGTTAGTCAATTATTTAAACAATTCAAAGAAGTTAATCAATTAGAAGATTTAATTAAAAAATGTCCAACAGACAAAAATTTAGCTTATAGTTTCTATGTATGGTTTATACGATATTATACACGATTTCATAGAATAAAAAATGTTTCGATAGATATTAGTTTTGTTCAAATGATTGAAAATCAACTACAACAACAATTAATTTCAACTTTTGAATTAATTGGATATCAGTTTATTCTACAATTGTGTAAAAATTTTGATAATCAATCATATTTTCAATTGAAGGCAGATATGACAGTAAATGATATACATATTCGCCTTATTGCATTAAATATATTTGCATTATATTTGGCATCGAAATGTACAAAAAATTCAACCTATATGAATAGTCTTTTATTTGATATTAATCGTAAAATGCCAAAAAACTATGCACAACATTTAATGACAAGATGTTTAGTAGGTTTACAACCAAATAATAATCATATTGTGACACAAATGCAGCGTGTTAAAAATGAAGTACAACAAAGATTAAATAATCGAGAAATAAGCGAACAAGGAAAATTTATATACCAATGTTCAAAAATATGTTATTTTATGTATTATTTTGAAAATTGTGGAAGACCAAATGATCGTTCTAAGTGTCCATTATGTAAAAATGACATTGGATCTATTAGACGTGGATCTAATCAATTGTTAGTGCGCGATCCACCGCAAATACAACTATCGATTGCTACTAGTTTTCAATTAATTGATGATTATATAAAACAGTATAATGAAACAAATCGATATGGTTATTACATCAATTCAACACCGACTGATAATTCTACTTTTAGTGAAACAAATGAACATTTACAACCAATAACCTATCGTTTATTGCATATGTTTACACATACATTAATAATGATGTTGTATGATTTGAAATACTTACAATCGATTCGCGATAAACCTGATCTACAAGTGAATCATTTTCGAAAGCATTATCAAAAAGACTATGAGTTAATTAATACTATTATTGGCCAACAAAATGAATGCCATATATGGTTGTATAAGATTTTTAATCATTTATCTAATATTAATATTGAAGGTATATTAGATACTAATAAGAAAGTTGTTGATTTTGAAAAATATATCGAACAAAACATTATATTACCACATATTCAATCGGTGTCTGATGAAATCAAACAATATAATTTAAATTACAGTAAGTTTATACGTGAAAATAATGCTCAACCACAATTGATCGATTATATAAATGAACTAGTTGAAAATGAAGAGCAGTATCCATTGTTAAATTTTTTGACTATAACCAGAAGTAATAACGATATTGTTAACGAATTTCGTTCAAAATTTTATTTACTACAATATCAAAAATTATATCCAATAACAGATTATGTTTTAAAACATTTAACAGAATTAGAACAAATAGAATATACGTATCCAATTATTAACTTTACTAATTATTTATTACAAAAATACAATCATCGAATATTACGTAATGAAGCATCAACAAAAGAATTAGATTTTTATATTAAAAGTGATATTAATGATAAAAAGCTATTTTCACTATTTGAGCAATTTCGTCAAGCATGGTACGGATTAAAATTAGATGATGTACAACTTGATTGTACTCACATTAAAATAGATCGTACACAATCTAGTGAACAATTTTCTAAATCAAGAAAATTAGCATTTTTCTTATTGAATCGATCAACAGATAATAGTAGTTTCGAAATACTTGGTTGTTTACATACATTAGCTAAATTTCAAAACAACATTCTCAATTTCTACAAACATATAACTAATCCACAAGTACCATACCATGATACTAAACGAAAACAACCAGAAATTGAAATACAAAAAATTACTAAAGAACATTTATTAGTTATATCACCTGAAATAATTGATACGATATTAAGAGAAGAAAATGGTTATATTATTAATTATGAATATGGTAAAACAAAAGAAGTAATTTATGATTATGATGAAATTGAAACTAGATTATGTAATAGAATAAACCGTATACGATGGATTGATACGGAAAATTTCAATTATTTTAATTATCAATTTGAATTGTACCATCAAGAAGTGTCATTATTCAATGATATACGACGAAACATAAAACAGGAGCAAATGTCAACCGATGAAAAAACGAAACTCCAACATTTTTTAAGGAATACAAAAATGGATGATGTTCGACAGTTTTTAGGTTCATTAGATTATGTATTCACATATTTTCGACATGCAACTGGCAGACCACCAACATCTACACTAAAGGAATCTGTTAAAGCTTTAATACAGAATACTTCTCATTTACATTCATACATTCTCAATGAACAGCAACCATTTGGTAATATTCAAGTAAAATATGTTATAAATTTATATGAGCTCATTGAAGAATTAGTATTCGATGAAATAATGAAAAAGTATGTTAAACAAGAATTAACTACAGATGTATGCATAAATGAAGAAGAAAAGGAAAATATTATTGGACAATT